TGTGCCTTGTATTCATGGAATGAGTCCTCAGGCAAAGTATTTTTGCAATAGGGGAACAAAGCAAATATCTAGCCATTCTATTCACAAATAAAATGCATTATACTTTAAAAGTAGAAATTTTAGACATAGCTTGAGTAGCTTGTTATTGTTACATCTTCTGCAGAACTGCCATTCTGAGGAGCTAAAGCGACATTTCTTTGGAAACCTGACCCAACTGAGAATTGTATGTTTGACATATATGATTTTGGACTTTGATCTAGATGGTTAGTAATAGTATTTCTTCATGGAGAAATCAGCCTTGAGAATTTGTACCATAATAATCTGTGGCTTTGAATAAGATAATTTCAAAGAAAGAGATACCAGCTGATTTTTTGTTTTCTGTCTTTGAGGTTGTGGCACAGCAAGAAGATTTGTGTTATGAAAGTGCGAGCTCAGAATCACAGTGGCCATACAGACCGTTTAAGCGACGCTAAATGACACGGATGGAGGCTTACACACAAGTAGTGAGATTACTCACTCATGGATAAAAATTCTGTGTTTGGGCAATCTCTGGGCATGACAGAAGATATAGATCTGTTCCAAATGGCTTTTTGATTTGGGCTGTCTACTGAGTAGATAGTTACTGTCCTTGGGTGATAGGTGGGCCGAGATCTCTCTGAACTTGGTTGGGTTTTGGGTTTTGGTTTTTGATTATTAGCTTGATGCTCAGGCATTTTTTGCACATGTAACAGTTTTTCACAGAGAGAACACTGCAATTGTCCCACAACCCCAAGCCAGATGCAGCATGAACAACTTCCTCCATACTGGATAAAACAAGCAATTTCTAGCAAGTCAGAGATGAGCCCTCGATGTTATTCCTGTATGGGAGGATGATTCCTCATGCTTCTGGGCGGCAGCGTAAGGCTCTGGCACATGCTCTTATGCTACATGTACTACTGCTGTGCTACTTGGTGGGTGTTGAACCTTCTTTACGTAGAAACTGTGGTTCTGAGACTTGAAAATAGCCTGTTTTGTAATTACAGTGCATGTTGTAGGTCACCGAAATGCTAAGAGTGTTCAGTTAATGCAGTGTATTCTTCAAAAAAAATGCTCTAGGCCTTTTACAAGAGGGGAAAAAAAAAAACAACAAAAAACAGAAAAACAAAGGTCTAATAAAATACCCAGAGAGAGTGAACAAAAAAATATGTTCTCTAATTTAAAGCGATCCCGAGTCTTCTTGAGTTCATGAACCAGCAGTGCCGTTTGATGTCAGCAGAACTGAGCGGAAGCGTGTGGTTTGTGAGCTCGCTGCTGCCATAGAGTCATGACTCCTCGCTGGCTGTGGATGGGCTGTGCAGGGCAGACCACAGTGCAAACCTGACAACTGTTTGGCAGCAGGATTAAGACCCTGCCTCAAGCTGAAACACCAGCTACTTCACCCCGTGCCATATGCTGTATGTTCTGCAGCATTTCATATCCCAAATGGTGACAGAACCACGATTAACGTAGAAGTAGACAAGGAAATGTCCTGCTTCCACTTGGCCAGAGAGACATTTCATTGTAGGAGGGAGGAAGAGAAAAAGCAAGCTACATTCTTGAACAGAGAAGCAAACTGCTGCTGGAAAATAAAAAAAAATAACATTATTGCCTCATGTTCCTTTAGCATGTGACCAGTTACGGCAATTGCTAATTGTCTACATACCAGGAAAAAAATGCCCTGTAGTATAAAGAGTTCCCAGTCTGTACTTCAGGTCATTGCAAAGGTCTAAAGGCAGTTATTAAGGAAGTAAACTGCTAATCCAACTTTTAAATGTAATTTGCTGAGCAAGAGAAAAATCAGAGAGTACAGGAGAAGGTTTCTGGGGGTTTTATAATCTGTAGTGAGCTTTATTTATTTTTTTTTTATTTTATTTGAAAACAAGCTTTTAAAATACATTGAAGCAGATAGAAAAGAAGGAATTTAAGAGAGGTCTTGAAGAATTTAGGAAGACTTGCATTGTCCACTTAACACCTTATCTGTTAAGAGAATGCTACAGAGTGCATTTAAGAGAATGCTACAGAGTGTATTCTGTATCTTAGAGTAGGGTTACTTCTGTCTGTAGAGAATACGCAGGTGGAACAGATCCAGAAATTTGGGGGGATCAGTTATGGTGTCTCAGGGACAACACATGCAGGGATTGCTTGGATAAGTGGGGTTTTTTTTCCTAACTGGTCCAGCATGATAGGCTTTCTTTGCTCTGGTCTGTACCTTTCAAGCAGACAGAAAGAATTCAGGTACAGAAGTGTCTCTAACATGATTGCATTTATTGTAAAAAGAACAATATGAGCAATATACAGTGGCAATGCAGAGATTTTATATATAAAATATGTATTTATATATATGTATAAAAATTGCTAATATAAATAAACAATACTTCTATTCCATATAGCCATCCACCTGTACCCAAAATAGTGAGTTTATTACAAACTTTTTTCTTTTTTCTTTCTTTTAATTTAGTTAATATTTCTATTTATTGCCGGTTCTTTTCAGTTTGAGGAATCCATCTATTGAGAAATAGGGAAGATTTAAGTAGACTTACATGAATATTCCTCTGTCCTAGCTGAAAAGTTACTGCTAAGTCTGTGGACACCTATGCAGCTCTAAAACAAATTATTTCTTACAGAGAATGTTTTTAGTGAATTACTTGCAGATAAGAAATGGGGAGCTTCTCCTGGAAGTGTATATACATCTCGTTTTTGCTTTGTAGAAATGCCAAATAGCCTTTAGTTTACGCATTGCCCATTTAAACATAGATGAAATAATGAGTACTTTACCAAGAAAGCTCTTGATGGTTATGAAAGTCCTCAAAGTGTGGAGTGCATAGGCATAGCAAAACCATGGTACACGTAATTTGGGTATCAGTAAAACCTACCTGCCTTAAAAAGAATAAAAAAAACTGATCACATATCTGGACAGGAAAATAAAAATAAAACCATAAACCTCAAACTTTCTGCAAATGATTTGCTACTAACGTCAGTATTTTTTTTAGAGAATGAGATGATTTAGATCAAGCAAACATTCTTCTGACATTAGTGACGTAATGGTCTCGTGTTCAGAGCGATTTCCTGTTTACTTTGGGTCTGAACACAGACGTCTCAAGAAAGTAGGTGCTAAAATTTTCATTACACATCTGCATATAAAGACAGCCCAAACTATTCTGCTATCTGTAGTAAATTTTATATATGTTTCTGTTCTCTGGAAAAATTAGGTTAAAAATTTCATAAGAGCTGAGATGTCTCAGTATGCTGACCCAGTTAATTCCTCAGTTTTAATCATGTAATGCAGAAATTATCAAGCAATGTCAGTTTGGCAGCCTTGGGAGCTACTGTCATGCTCTTAACTGGGACCTTTGTTAGGAGATTCATCTGGAGGCAAGGGACTCGGTGTCCCTAAGAGGGATGTACTGCTGCTCTCTGAAATCTGGAGAGCTTTTAGACGGTAGTAAGGCTTCTTTGTGGTGAAGTTCAAGACTTCGTTTTAGGCTGTAACTTTTCATGAATTTTCTGTTTCAAATCGTAACTTCTGTGAATGTTCACCATAAAAGCAATACATCTTTTTCGTAATTTATGTGTATGATTCATAGTTCTAAGTTACAAGCTTGTTTTTAAATGTATACTTTTTTCCTAAAAGGCAGAGATCATGTTGCTGTTGCTTTATTTTCCTAATTATGAAACAAAAGAGATTATATTTAAAAACTTGCTGCAACTTTTCTTTTGCCTTGGAAAATATGAATACATCAATCATACATTTAGCTATCTGCTCTCTGAGGAATGAAGGAGTCTGTTATAAAACAGACCATGGTCAAGATCTTGTAGGGACTGAGATCAAAAATAAATACTCCTGAGTGTTTTGTTTTACTTTTTAATTCTATGTGGTTGCATTTTGATGGATAGTGTCATAGATGTGGAAATTTGCTTCATAATATGACTGGTGAGCATTCTAGAGACAAGTTCTGAGGTTACTTCTGAACTCAGGTCAGCTCAGCTTTGCTGCCAAGGCAGAAGGCCTTGTCTTACTCCCAGGTGATAAAGATCTAATAGTAAAAATCAGAGATTGCAGTAAAGTGGATTTTGATCTGTTTTGATGGTCTGTAGAAAATGAGATTATTGGTTGTTTTTGTTAGCTGACTTCATTAGATTTTGTGTCCTGTGAATGTAAGAAATGTACTTCTAAATGTACAACTGTGACACTAGTGTAAGAAAAAATCCCAATGTTGACACATGCTTTGGCATGAAATTATTGTGTGTTTAGAGATTCTGCAACTATTACCTTAATCTGCTAGGCGAGAACTTGCTGCATGTGGAGCTGTTAGGGAATTTACATTGGCGCTAGAAACCAAAACTGGATCTTGGAGAGCACATTTATGACAGCAGCAAACACACAGGCAAGATAATATACAGCATATCGTAAGAAAAACATGTTTTGCACTTAGAAAAATAGAGGAGGGAGGAGCAGTTTGCTGCTGGCCGCAGTGAGAATGAATTCAGGTCAGTGGGAAGCACTTACCAGAGAAGGATGTCCTGCAAGAGCCAGGCTGGGTCCAGCAGAGCCAGAGCTCTGAATTAACATAGAGCAGGACTGTAAGTCTTCTGTTCGCAGCTTTTACCTCAGTAACTGTATGCAGGAGTTCCTGGTGCTCTTGGTTCTGTGCTGACAACACAAGGACACCAAAAAGCATTTGTATGACGCCAGATGGGGTTCATGGGGCTCAACAGCTTCCAGGTGTAAGTTGTCCCTAGGTTCAGTGATGCTCCAGGGACTATGGAGCCCAGGGCTAAGCCTAAGCTAAGAGGGCTGATCCAATTTCTATTTCTATGGAGTGAGTTATTTACAATTTTGATAACAGATCTTTGAAGTTTTTTAGTGGTAATGATCGAAAAAAAAGAGGAGAGAAATACAATGCAACACACGTTTTAGGAAAGTGCTTATCATTGGTTTACCTTGTAATGGATTTGATGCCACTTAAATTATTGTTTTCCAGGCAAAAATTGCTTCTCAGAAATGCAGATGTTCCTGTTATCATGAATACCTACTTCAGTCAGAAGGTGCTACTCAGTGAATATTCCGAAGCCAGAGAGAAGACATGTGGTCTTACAAAGATGCTTATCAGGAAGAATATTATCTCTTTGGCACAGACCTTCAGACTAGATGACCTTGATGATGAGGTACACCAGGAATCTTCAGATAATCGGGTAAGGTCCATTTGGTTTGCAGTTTTAGCACTTGTTAAGAAGTTGGTGAGCAGATGTTTGGAAATTGTCAGAAAAACAAAAATTCTAAATTACTGACCTTTTCAGTTTCCCCTTTCATTTAGCCAAGGCTGAATAATATGCGGTGTTTATTTTAATAATATTTTCTTAGCAGAGTCTTTTGGTCCATCCAAATGCTGAACTGCTGTGAAGTTATTTTGCTGAAGTCTCACTACTGTGCTAAATAGTAATTGTAGCTTGATTTTTCATTGATTTTTCTCTTATTCTTTATAGCTGAATAGTTAAAAAACAAAATCTGTTTTCTTCTAACTCACTCAAGAGAGTATTTTAAACAAACATTCAATTTCCCCACTCATATTTCTTAACTCATTTCCTAATTCATCCTATCCTTTCTTTAAAGCATCAATTGATAACATCATCACCCTTTTCCACCCCTTCTTTTTTTTCTTTCCTATTTTGACTTTATTTGTATTAAAATGACTACTGACTCTGCAGTTCCCTAGCTGTGGTGGTTGTACAAGCTGAAGTACTTTAAGGGATTTGTTTTTTTAAAAGCCTGTGCCAGGACTTTCTGAAAGTAAGGCTCTCGTAAAGGCTTTATGTTGGCTACCCAAATCGTTCTTAATATTTGAGAAGTTTGGCCCTACAAGTTTGGAGAACAATGAGTGTCAACATTTTGTATTTGTCATATATATAAAATTCCCATTATAGGCCTGGGAATTAAAAAATTACATAAATCCTAATCTCCTTTCTTGCTTCAACTCTAACTTTTAAAAAGCTTCAACTGTGGTATTTGCAAACCAGAACAATTGACTTGTTCCTCTCATGGCTCCTAACAAACAAAACCACTTCATTTAAAACTCAGTAGACAAGTTTTATTGCAAGCTCTTTTTAGACAAAGGTTAGTGTTGTACCACAGTTTACTTTTAAATACTACAAATTCTCCTTCTTTACTGGTGTATAATACTTATGGCACAGCCTGTGATACTCTGAAAATCTTTCTTGGCACCCAACTGTTTATAAAAACAGGGTTCATTGTGAAAATAGAAATTTGGCTCATGCTGTGAAGGAACCTATATATATTAGTCTACACTTGCATAAAATTTTTACCAAGACAGATTTATTTTAGAAATAAAATTAATGAAATTTATCGTTTATATTAAGGGAACATGGTGCATTCATAAAATTTATTTTGAAAGTTTGGAAGATTTTATTAATAAAGTATGTTTTGGAAGTAGTAAACCAATAAATTAAAGTTTGTACTTTGAATTACTTTACTTTTTGTTAATCATCTAGTTCTTTCACATTGAAGTATTTTCCATTGAAATGTGTAAGTCTATAAAGCATTCATTTACAACTATATCTGAAAGTCCAGAAGCGTTCAAGGTGGATTTTACTTTTTATTTTACAAGAGAAAGGAACAGAACATCAAAGAACTAAAAATGAAACTCAATTCAGGGGGAAGAATCATAAGGACTAATATCAGTTCTGTTTTCCTGCTGGTGTCACTCTCATGTACTGAGTTAGCTCTGGAGGACCAGTCAAATACAGGAGCACATTGTGTATGCAACTCTCTTGAGTGTTCATTAAAAATCCACAGTAAATACTGGCCACTAGTCTCTAAGTTACTCTTGGAGCATTAAGTGTTTTGAAACTGATTTCGCACTTGCAACTTGATTTTTCATGCCGAAGTTTCCCTCTCTAGCTCTGCATAGTTTCAAGGTTCCCTGGAATGTTTCTCTTAATGGGTTTTCCTTCACCAGGTTGCTTGTGCTCCACAAATCCATAACAACTGTGATTTGAAACGGCATCCCTTAGCACGGAGTGCTGTTAATGATTCTCTGCTTGAAATGGTGGAAAGCCAGGGAGCAGTGGGATGGAGAGAAGCACAGGTACAAGTTGTTATCCAGAGGGTGTACTGTTTGCCTGCAAGACAAGGTTACAGAAGCCACGTTCAAGGAAACAAGCCTCTTTGTGCAACACCCATCATGAATACAGATCCACCAAATGTTAGGTGAGTAATAACATGCATGGGAATTTTTCTGTTGAGGCTGTGATATATGAGAAACCAAAGAGGAGGGTGTTTGGAAACGTCATTCTTAGTTGTCAGCTCTCAGGGAATATGCACACTCAGCAAGGCACAAGGCTGTTGATGGAAGTGGTGTAGTTTTTTAGGAGGTGTACTGTGACACAGTAGTTCTGCCCAGAGAAGGGAAGGATCTGTCTATAGTTTATGTCATCAACAGATGACAGGAAGATTGAAAATGAATTAATCAGAAGTCAATTTAAAACCATAGATGAACATCTTATACTGTTCCTTGAGTTTCACAGAATAGCTGTTACATCCCATTTGCCTATGTGATGTCCATGGTATGCTCTGCTGATAACTTATCCTCATAGAATCGTCTTTTAAAACAGATGAGAAATACACAGAGAGAGAGAGAAATGAAAGGCTTTTCTAAAAGGAGGATTTTGCACAGATGCCAGTAGAGAAACATAGGTGTACACTTCCACTGTGAAGTCACTGGAAAAAGATCCCAATGACTTCTGGAAATCTGGAGGTCACTGCAGTTAAGTTCCTCTGCCGTAAAAAGTGGTGTGGGGTCAAAACACTAACACTAATGCAGAAATCCTACGTGCAGAACCCATGGAACATGCAGCTTTTGACCAGTGGTTTTAACCTCTTCTGTTTTAGTCTTTACATCTCAATACTGGTCTGTTTACAGTGTAGTGAATCAAGAATTGGATATTTTTTTCTTAAATACAAAAGATATGGCAGACAGTTTTCCTTTCTGACCAGTACTGAACCTTTGAATCCTTTCCTTTTCCTTTTATGATCCTCAGGGTTTGAGGCCAAAGACTTGATTTCAAAGTCTTTCTCAGCAACTCTGGGTCTGAGATAGCTATGCCTACTACTGCATTTTCTTCCTTTGGTTTTGCACTAACTTTTGGTTAATGCTGGCTTAAAAATTTAAAATGTAAGATACATTAGATTTTATTTTCACTGAGGAATATTGTTAAAGTGAGTTACAGTGGCAGAGCTTATATTAAGCTTCTAAATTCAGCCTTTCAGGACATTAGGAGACGCCTCTTCCTGCAGACTTTAAGACCTGAATGGAGATGAGCAATTAGTTTAGCAGGTCCTCTTGAGAACTCTCCAGATGTAATTTGCAGCAGGCTTTGAAGGGTTTCTTCAAAGTTTTGGAGAATTTGAGTTCCTTTAAGACACCCTGCAAGTTGGTAGTGGCATGCTCACTGGTCCTTCCTGAGCTTTAGAAATAATAGAATTCTCTCAATTCTTTCTACCTTGTAAGCCAATGTATAGTTTACAGCACTCATTGATCAATAAAATTTCTCCAGAAGGAACTGAGGAAGATTATTCCTTCCTAAAATGCAAGCTCTATCACTGGAAAGTAATTATCAACAGCCTTGTCCCCAGTATTTTTAAGAAGCTCCTTTAAATAGAAGAGTTATATTCAACTTAACTTGCATTATTTTTTAAAAAGATACATCTGGTTGTGTGAAGTCATTGCTATGTACTTAATTCGTTCTTGCTATAAATGCGAGAGGAAAAGTACTTTACCAGCCCCACATCAATATGAGGTTTTGAGGACAGTGTTGCTCCCTTTAGATTTTCTTCCAGAGGGCCATGTCCGATCAAAAGTCAAGGCAGCTGGCAGACCGTTATTCAAGCTGATTTTTAACATCAATTCTACCACAGTTCAAATGATAGTACTGTCTCTGTATTTTATTTTCAACTTTCAACCAAAAGTACATTTGCAATCGCTCAATTTGAGATGGTTAACCTGCCCGAGGCCCACACCCTTCACAGGAATGGGGTGAAAGAAAACAGAAATCTCAGATTGCACTTCTTATGTCACACATGAAATTAAAAAAAAAAAATGAGAGCCCATTGCTTCTGAGAACATGCTGTAACCAGGTATTCTCAGGTGCAATTGCTAAACTGGTCTCTTAGAAGTTCCTCAAATTTTATAGGTGTCCAAGCTCAGAAAACAGCTTGTTTGTTGTTGTTCACAGCTATCAGGCTGGTTTAGATCCTGAAAAAAAAAAAAAAGCCCACTTTCTCTTTTGCAAAGACGAGAACTAACACTTCTTTTACAGACTGAGGAATGGAAAGCACCTCAGACTGCTTTATCAGCTGCTCTTTCCATGGCTGATAAACATCCACATGAGACTTTCCTCCTCTATCAAAAATGTCTCTGTCTGTCACCTGATAGTGAGCAAAGGGCCCAACAGCCTCTGGCAGTCCTTTGAACCAACTGATGGCTTATTCTTCTGTAATTAAGAAGCCTTCTTTTTTTCTTTTTTAACTTCCTTCTGTAAAGCAAAACTTCCATGAAAGCAAGGTTTGTATATTAAGAGGCAAGATGAGTTAGGTTATGCATTGTTTCATAATAGAAATCAAGGTACATTAATAGTGAATTGATTAGTATTGTCAACAGGCTTTATTGTATATCTTCTCTTGTAGCACTTCATAATAACCTAGATGCTGTTGTCAAGGGAAGCATAAAAAGCATAATAAGCTGAAAAGAAGCATGAAATTAAATGTGGAGCAGGGGAAGTAATGCATTTGGTTCAAGGCATCCAGTTTCTAGTAAGAGACTGGCAAATTGTGGGAGAAACCTGTATTTTGATTGGAATGAAATGGATTCATTTAATAGGTTAAAACTAACACCTTAGAAGCATAGAAATTATGGTGCTGCCTGTAGTAATCTAACCTTTTCCTCATAAAAATACGTATATAGAATACGGACTTTTACTGATAAACAAATGGATATGTCTGAGGGGTTAAAGTCTGTTTAGCTGAACTATTCAGAGTATTTTCAAAAGGCGCTGAGAAATCATCGCAGAAACCAAGAAGTTCTCTGGTTTCTGCTGTACATAAATTGGCCCCACATTCCCTGTATTATTGTCAAATCATCTGCCTTTCCCTTGTTATTAACTACTCTTGCAAATGGACTTTTCATGCTGAAGGAGTTTCATGGGGGGAAAAAAAAAGTCAAACTAGAAGAAAATATGACTCGCTGTGACTGTCTGCCCATTTCCAGCATTCCTGGCATACTTTTTGCTGCCTTTTCCCTGTCTGATGAGAGAGATACTTTTGCTAATGACACAACACGTTTGTCTAAACCCAGTTATTTTGACTCTTTTTTAAAAAGTCCTGGCTTAGGAGGATCCCAGAGAGACTCCTGTCAACCTGAGGAGCTCACTGGCGCTGAGGTGTCTGACTCACTGCGTCGGCCTTGTACTTTGTGTTCCTGGGATAAAGCAGTGTATAATTTGGATTTTGCTCCTGCCAGTATCTGTTTGTTTTGAGCGGGCCACGTGAGTTTAGTAAAAAATAGAGCTGGTTAGTTTTGTGCCTTAAAGGACAGGGCTGGTTGTGTGGTAGTCAGTGTAACAAAAATAGTTGCATTTTTAGAACTATTAGGCAGTTAAACTGGTCAGAGCACTCGGAAGATTTGGGTGAAGAGGCTGGATAGAAAAGGGTGTTGTCAAGAACGAAAAGCTAAGCACTGCTGGCAGAAAACAATGCTAGCTGTAGCTGTGAATCCGCATTTTAAAATCTGTGTGTGACTAGACAAATTATCCATTCACTTCTCTTGGCATGTTTTGACCTATTTCCTACCTGAATATTAGCACTTCAGCCTACCATAACTTCCTATTCCAAGAATAAAAGACAGTACATTTACTTTGAAAGTTAGTGTGATCTGCATCTATGCGCTAGTCATTGATAGTTCTTTTGGTTTTGCTCTTTATTTTGTTTGCCATTTACCAGATCATAGAGGATTGGAAAGATCTGCCACCATGCAAGCAGGACCCTTGGGGAGCAAACTATTTACAAAGCTGAGGATTTGTTTGAGTGGCTGGAAGAAATAGAAATGAGGAAATCATATTTCTCTTTTTGAGCCGGCCCCCAGAAACATGATAGTCAGTTGCTGTAATTCATTGTGGTCTAGCAAGTTGTTGCAAGTTTCTGAGTAGCCTGTTCATACGTAATTCTGTGTAGAACAACTTTATTGGCAAGTGATAATCCTGTGAAACTAATTCATTTCAAAGTTGGATTTCCTTTTTTCCTCTCTTTTCCTTCATCCAATGGTCTTTGCTGTTTATCTTAATGCAGATCTAGTCAATGGGTTAACCTGTCTGGCAGCATGCATAGCTAAAAGTTGAGTGTCAGGTGCTGCAGCTAGCATTCCAAGTAGATGGATTAATATATTGAAAAGTCGTCCTTCCGGTATGGAAAACCTACTTTAAATTCTGTAAAGCATATTGAAATAACAACAACAAAAAAATTTTTGAGGTCTTCTTATTTGAAAAGAGCCCAGATTGGAAAGGACTGTCATGAAAGATCCATGTTCACAGATGCTAACATCTGTCAGAATGTTTTTTGTGGCTGACTTAAATCTGTTTACAGCATTCCATTTGTTTTTTGTGTTTTTTTTTTCAACAAAACATTTGAAATGGAATGGTCATAAATGCAAGTTTTTAAAAATTACATTATGTTTCTGGGATGCGATTTTTCAAGTGGAAAATAAACAGGAAATAAGTAACTGAAATGCAGTAGACAGTACTCCATAAACTGAAAGGTTTCTCTGATTTCCCCTTTTCAGATCCTTCTCTGTGAAGATATGTGCTCTTAATATTCTTGCAAAGTAGACTAATTGCTACTTGACAGACTTGTAATAGTTCTCCTAATAGCTGTGGTTCAAGGTCTAGTAACTAGTTTCTGCTTTGAAGTCTCTTTTTTTTTTTCCCCCATTTTTATTCACAGTAAAGACTCCCTGACACTTGGATTATTCCCTTTTGCCTCCACCCTGTTCTATTTGTAATTCTCAAACTGAAGCCACCAAAACAGAGAGTATGAACAAAAGACTGTTGGAAAAACAGCTTTTGTATCACACTGTCCATCTAAGACTTTAAACTGTATTATAAAGTTAACACTGTAGCTTCCCCATGTTGTTGCCTGGATGGCTATGAAAGTCTGTTTTC